AGTACACTTTATTAGGGCATGGATAAGACTTTAAAGTTCTGTCTTAGCCTCAGGGTAGCTGGGGCTGGAGTTGAACCAATCGCAAACAGCCGGAATAGAAAGTTACCTTGGGATGCAGTATTTATTCTCAACAGTGTATCATTTAGAACAAACTTTTTAAAAATGTAAAAATAAGCAATTACTTGTCATTATAAAATGACACATTTTACAAGGGGGCAAATTTGGTTTTATTCCCCTGAGAGGTGCACCTCCATTACAGTGCTCACAGGCACATGCCTCATGTTTGTCATCTGCTCTACCTGTATGTCTCATGCTCCATTTTCCGAGAGCAAAGTTGTCTTTCAAAACACAGGAAGAAAAGCGCCAGCCATTTTTCCCACCTCCAGCTGGTGGGGGAAGTTTATCCCAACAGCCCTGCCAAGTAGCTGGCATGATCTGCATTATTCTAGGAGAGCTAGGCAAAGTTTAGAATGAGGAATGCAAAGTACATCCTTGTGCTTTCAGGATTATTTCAGTTTTAAATGATTTAGAGTTCCCTTATATGGAAGGCTTTCTAGGAAAAGGCTGGCTAAACCTGTTTCTCACTATAATTGAGAATGCATACTCAGAAATTTAATTCAGCATTGGGTGCACAGTAGTGTAATAAATACAGGCTATGTGGGAGATTCCTTCGGGCTTCCTTGGTTTGACATGACTCTCTGGGATGGGGTTGTTAAAGGGACAGTTCGGGGAATGGGAAAAGGGGGAGCCTTGCCACTCTGGGGAGGGGCTAGGTAGGATTCCTTTAGTGGGTACTGTCCAGTACCATAGCCACTAGCCACGTGTGTGTTCCCAATTAAGGCAATACTGTAAGAGTAAAAGCTATACTGGGTTTCAATGAGTTAGTATTAAAAAATGTAAAACATCTCAATAATTTTTATATTGCATGTTGAAATTACATGTGAAATAATTATTTGGGGAGTGTTATCAGATTAAATAGCAGTATTAAAGTTGACTTCACCCATCTCTTTTTCTCTTCGAATGTGGCTACTAGAAAGTTTAAAATTACATATATGGCTCTATATTTCCAGTGGACATCACTGTGCTATATGCATTTTACATGGCGGAATTATGGTTAGTGTTTATTTTCTTGCTTCTGTTTCTGTATTTTTCAAACTGGCAGTATGAGTGGCAGACAGTATTGTGTTTTGAGGAAAAAATATATAGCATGGATTTTGGAGTCTGGAAAAGATATGTCCTAACTGTTGCACTCGGGCAACTTTCTCTGAGCCTGCACTTCCTCATTTGTTACATTAAGAGAATAAATCTTTTGACCTCACCAGGTCAAAGCTTTCCAGGTTGTTATCAGGAGTGAGAGATGCATGGGAAATTAGCAGAGTGCTTAGCACAGAAACCGGCATAGGAAAAACTCAATAATAAATACTCCACATTATTGTAGGTTATATCAAAACACCCATCCAGTGCACAATGTGAAAATCTGTCTCCGTTTCTAATTCAGGTCTTTGTCTCTCTTGTTCTACAAGTTTGCCCTTGGTATTATATCTACCGACTTTTACATCCGGAAAGCTGAACTTCCCCTTCTTTGCCTCATAATTGAGCTTGTTCATCCTGACCTTACTCCCACTTAGTTACTTTAGCTCCTTTTTAACTTCAGAGCAAGAATTTTATCCTGGCTACAAACCACGCCCCAACTCTCTATCTGCCCCTGCCCTTTGCCTTGTACCTGGAGGCTGAGTCTTGCTTTTTACCGGAGTCTGCTTCTTTTGATGAGATGATCAGTCAAGGACAATTGACACCAGGCCAGTGCATGTAGGAAGCTGTCAGAAGAGTAAGGGTCATGTAAACAAGAGATCAAGACAACAAGGAGCAAAGACAGGGCAGAAGAAAAGCAATGTTACCACTTCTCTCCCCTTGTTTCACAAGCCAGCCTTTTCTTCTCATTGCCTTTGTCTGTTGGCTTTAAAAGCTGTGCTATGTTCAGCTCAGGGTAGATACAAGGTGTTTCTCATTGCCTTTCTAGATTCTCACCGCCTGAAGTACAACCTCCCACATTGTAGCATGGTACACATGTAAAACTGTGCACTCAATTTCCATATTCTGGGCAGTAACTCCTCAGATGAAGATGGTTATACATGTTCTCTGAAATTCAGTGATGGAAGAGAAAAAAATGCAAAACTTTGTGAAAACACGTGGCTTCCTAGCTCCTTCACAATTAATGAGATGAGCCTCTCAGTCAGAGCTGCATGAGATACTAACAGGAGCAGGAACATAAGATGAATTTGGAATAGCACAGGTGGCTGGGAGCACCTGTACTCCTCAAAGTAGTGGGGAAAAAAAGTCCCTGATCTCTTATGCGAGTATGTATTTTTTTAATCAGAAATATGTTGGGATTTTTTTTTTTTGTTTCCTTTGAATAATTCTTTACAGTATCTGTAACCAGGTGATTCAGAAGAAACTCTGGACTTAAGGCAGATTTTCTACCATTTTTTCATCAGATCAATATGTTACTTCACCTGTTTTGAGATTTGCTGGATGTTCTCAGGATAGCAAACTCAAATGAAAAAAATGAGCAAATTGGTTTATATTTCCAAGTTTAGGCTGAGAGTTGACAGGAGAAACCTGTGGAAATTCACAAAGGAAAGTTTCCAAGGCCTTCCTTGGTCACAGATGGATTTGTGGAGGATTTGAATACACCTAGGGTCCCTCCAACACCAGGCAAGGAATACTCAGGCCAGCACAATTGGGAGGCTCAACTCTGGATGTGTGAATGTGGCTGTTTTCCCTGGGGCATTTTTTTAAACTGGTTTATCGAGACAGAGTTTCACTCTGTCAGCCAGGCTGGATTGCCATGGCACATTCATGTCTCACTGCAGCCTCAATCTCCTAGACTCAAGTGATCCTCCCACCTCAGCCCCCCAAGTACCTAGGACCACGTGTGTACCACCATGCCTGCCTAAGTTTTTCTATTTTTTTTTGTCGAGATAGGGTTTTGCTATGTTGCCTAAGTGGGTCTCAAACTTCTAGTCTTAAGTGATCCTCCTGCCTTGGCCTCCCAAAGTGCTGAGATATCAGGCATGAACCACCATGTCTGGTCCCCATTTATTAATAAAATATTTACCATGAGTCATAGGCAGGAAGCATTCGTTGCCAACTGTGACTTTCCTATGGTTTCCAAGAAAATCAGAGGATTGAAAATGTGAATAAATGTTTCTTATTATGATTGGTTGAAATTTAGGAAAGGAAGGAAGCATTTCTGAAAATGCAAATACTGCTTTAACACAGCAGCTCTCTACAGGGGAACTTACATTCTGGGTGTCTTGGCTTCTTAAGAAAAGAGACAGCAAATGCTCTGCAAATCCCCTGATCTTCCTTTTTTCTTTTGTCACTGTAAACTCTCACGATACCTGTGATTTCAATTGTTTGTGGTTGGTGTAGCATCTTTATCTCTGTCAGAATTGCAGAATCGAGTGGTGGTTACATTAGTTGGAATATAAACCTGTGGGCATGCAAACAAATGTACATACAGTCAACATTTGATCTACATAAGGGGCCTTCGAGCGGTCTCTTCTCTAGGGTCTGATTGCTTTTGGGCTGCTGACAGCACAGCTCAGTGCTGCAAAGGAAGGGACTATGTTACTGGCTGCAGTTTTATATTTGCCATCTTTGAATAATTCTTTTTCCCCATATAGGGGTGGAAAAGATGATGGACCTAAAAGTGTCTGAAAAGAAGCACGTGCTGTTGCAGAGATGAGCATGATTATAGGTGTGCATACCTAGCATGTATATGTCCAAAAAGCATTCTTGGTGACACGCTATTTCTGATTTTGCTTCTGTTGAAACTGAATGCAAAACCAGTGTCATTAAATCTGCTGCTTTGTTGCCAAAGGGATACAACTTCCATTTGATTTTAAAATATCACTAGGTCTTCTTTGTGCAGACATCCTTTAAAATACAAACACTGCTTTATCTAATGCAGCTATACAGTATGTATACATCTTTTTCTTTAAAATGAAAAGACAAAACCAGATTTATGGATAACATAAAATGCTTTCTGGATACACAAACACCAATGAAAACATTTTTTAAAATTAACAGACATCAACCAGTATAAATACACTGTCTAAAGCATTTAATGGTCTTTAACACAGCCGACTCCCTCGGGTTTGAACCAGTGTTAAATTCTCTTTTGCTCATGGCAAAAGAAGCTGTCAAGCACAACACTGAAAAATTGGTACCATTTCCTGGCCAGTAAGCACAGAATGGAGGGACTAAGTATTTTATGGTTTTATTTATTTATCTACTGAGTTCTCATGCTGTGTTTTTCTGTCTCTCCCTCCTGCTGGTGCCTGCCCAGGGCTGATTGTTGTGACACTGGCCGTATGCTGGATGCCCAACCAGATTCGGAGGATCATGGCTGCAGCCAAACCTAAGCACAACTGGACGAGGTCCTACTTCCGGGCGTACATGATCCTCCTCCCTTTCTCAGACACGTTCTTCTACCTCAGCTCGGTGATCAACCCGCTCCTGTACACGGTGTCCTCGCAGCAGTTCCGCCGGGTGTTCGTGCAGGTGTTGTGCTGTCGGGTGTCGCTGCAGCATGCCAACCACGAGAAGCGCCTGCGCGCCCAAGCGCTCTCCACCATGGACAGCGCCCGCTCTGCGCAGCGCCCCCTGCTCTTCCTCACGTCCCGGCGCCAGTCTTCTGCAAGAACTAACAAGGTTTTCTTAAGCACTTTTCAGAGCGAGGCCAAGCCTCAGTCTAAGCCCCAGCCATTGAGTCTGGAGTCACTAGAGCCCAACTCAGGCGCAAAACCAGCCAATGCTGCTGCAGAGAATGGTTTTCCGGAGCACGAAGTTTGAACATCTAGTGAGGAAGCCTTGAGTGGGAACTGGCCCTCCACCCCCAAGAAAACAACGTCACCCTCACACTGCAGTCTCAAAATAAACTAAACTATGCCCCCATCAAGGGTGGAATGGATGCTGGCAGCTTTGCAAAAGGCAGTGCCCACCTCAGTGACTTCTAAGGGCTGGCTGTGCCAGCCTGGCCTTGGCTCTGGTTACACAGACGTAGGGGTGGACTTTCCACCTCCTTCCTTCAAGTACATACTGAAAATTCAGTCAGCCCGAATTCATTTAGAGCTTACAAAAATGCTTTACACAGAGCTCTTTCATTATTTGCAAAGGAACAAAAAGAGAACACGGACTCCTGCTCCCTACCCAGAATAAAAGGACGGCCGGGAGAAAGAGAGGTGGTCGGGCGAGGGCCAGAAGAACAATGCAGGAGCGGGTGGCATCTCCTTCAGCTTCAGCAGTGGGCTGAGAAGAGGGCCAATTTGAGGAGCAGGATGGTGGTGGGGAGCCCTGGCCTGAGGGCGGAAGCAGAACTGCCTCTTTTCTTGGGCCTTGGCCCGTTGCAAAGAGGGGTGTTGCAGCAGCTGATGCACACTGAGTTCAGTTTCCCTGGGGAGCAGAAGGACTGGTACCCGGCAGAGGCGATGAGACAGGCGGCTGATGATGCACAGGACTTGCGATACATGATCCCTGCAACACAGACCCAAAGGACCTGGGTTAACGTGCACTGGTCAAAGGACAGCTATTCCTTACTCCTTCCCCAGCCCAGAGATTTGATGGGGCCAGGGAGGCGCTTCCAATTATTTCACTGATACTCAAAACACACAAGATAGATGTTGAAAGAGACAGACAGTTTTTCATTACCTTTAACAAAACTGTACCTTTAACAAAACTGTTCCAAAAGCTATTTGAAATGCCAATAGCAGTGAATAAAGCGCTTTTGAAATGAAAGCCTTTTTTTAAGTCACAGTTCACACTATGTACAAGACAGCTTTTTATTTACTTTTTATTGTTGTTCAAACTGTCTCATGCTCATGCCAGTGAGGACACAAGCAGTGCTTCTAGATCTTATCTCTGTTATTACTTTATAAACAACCAAAGAGAGATGGCTCTCAACTACGTGTTGATGAAATCCTGGAATTCTTTGAAGAAAGAAAGACCAAATTGCAACGGGGAATAAATATGATCCCTACTGAAGGGGTGCCTGGCTGACAGTGTGCCCCTCACAGTCTTATTCTCAGCAAAGACACTCTGCCTTCGGGACACATGGCCATCTACCAAGCCAGGCCTACACGGCTAGCACTCAGGGACACACACTGGGTATAAAAAGGAGCTTCCCAAGAAGACTGAGGGGCCTGTCTCAAGGAGCATATGTGTCCTGTCAAACTGCAGTAGAGTCATCAAATTAGGGTGTCTTAGATGACTTATTTAGGGGCTTCTCTGTCTCCCAGGCACTATTCAGACAGCTGTAGTGTGCCCAGCTTCTTCACTACCCAAAGCTTCCCTCCAAGGAAGGTCATCATGATCACCCCCATTTTACAGATGTGAAGCCTCAGGGCCGAAGAGGTTTAGGAAACTTGCCCAAGGTCACATGAACAGGAAGTAGAGCAGCTGGGATTTAAACCCAGCATTCTGGCTCCATGCTGTCACGACTGTTACTGTAGAGCAGCAAAGTGGACTGCCAATTCACCACCACAACGGTGGGGATATTTTAGGGGGAGGGGACTTTACTCTGAAGATAGTGACATATGTATCCACACAAAAAAGCTATTTAATATTAAAGGTGGACTTAGAATTAAGAGGTCTTAATCCTGTTTGCTGCCTTGCACAGCTGAGGGATACAGAATCCCACTCATTTTCTGCAGGTGTGTGGGCAGGTGTGGTTTTGGTTTTGGCCTCCTCCTTGAGAACTACCACTTTGGGTGCTGTAGAAACAGTGAAGAATCAAACTGCCTAAAACTTTCAAGTGGGAAGTAAAGAAGTACTGTGGATTTATCTTAAAACATGCAATTTTATGTCATTTTTTCCCCTCTAACTGCATGTTTGCAGGGATTGATTTTCTAAGACCATTACAAAATCCTGGACGGTGGCTGCTCTGGTAAGATAAAGCCAAGGTACAGAGGCTGCCTGTATCTATGTGTGGGAGGCACTGTTTGATTGCTAAGGAATACCCTTCAGGGCACTGCCCATTTATGGGTTTCCCATAGTCTCTCCATTTGCTATCCATGGCCCTTCTTAGGAAATCATTTCACTCTTTTTATTCCTAAGTATGAAGAACAGTAACTGGCATTTATTTGCCGTTCGACTACAATGAACTTTTTTCCTTTCAGTGAATTTTTAAACTTTAAAAAATACTTACTGAATATGTTTTTCTCTGTAAAAATGTTCAAACAGTCCGTAAGGTGAAATACCCCTTGAGTACCCCGGCCAGTTCCAGGCCCTCCACCACATCCCCCTGCGGGCAGGAGCTGTCATCGGTGTGGCCTGTCTCCTCCCAGGCTGGTTTCTGTACATTTACATATATACTCACAGAGAAATGTGTTTGCACACATTTGTTAATACCATTGCATCCTATATGCTATTCTGCAATTTGCATTTTTATTTAGTGACATGGCCCCGGCTACTAGTGGGATGCTATATCCCTCAGCTATGCAAAGCAGCAAACAGGATTAAGACCTCTTAATTCTAAGTCCAGCTTTAATATTAAATATTATCTATCCAAAAAATAATTTATTGAAATAAACTAGCCACATACATACCCACGCAACAAGGCTAACTTTACAGGGTTAGGGATCAGTGTGTAGGTAAGTTAGTTGGATAAATAGTGCATGTCGTTATGAAGAGATGGACTAACAGAACCACGATCTTTACCGCTGCTGAGACCCTCATGTCATTAGTCAGAAACAATTTATCTTCATAAGGAAAGTTGGGGAGAGGTACAAGCTCTCAAGTTGGTGGTTCATGAACTGATGCCACCACAGTGAGGCTTTCTGAAGGGGAAGGTTGACAGCTCCGTAAGAAAAGGGGTATTTACTAGATGCGCAAGAGGGAGGAAAGACAAGGGTGTCTGATATCAGATAGGTGTCTCCACTGCCAGGCTGGCCCCTCCAGACCAGGTACTCTGTGAAGGTCCAAGGGCCATCAGGCTTCTAGGCATGAGGGCCATGAGGGTCAGGGGAGCTCTGGGCTCCTGTGAGCCTCCCTTGGTTAAAGTCTAAGGCTGGAAACTGACACTAGAGATGCTTTGGGTGAGATTGGATGTGATTAAAGATGTTTCTAATGGAATAAAAGGAAATGTAGATCTAGGAGGCATCAAGGTCAGTGACAGGCAACTGGCTGGTGTCGGGGTTATGGAGGAGCTGGGTTTGGAGACATTCAAGAAGAAAAGGTGTGCTAGTTCTAAACTGGGTGGTGGAGGGGAAGCAGGTAGGAGGTGTTGTACTAACAGAAATGGGGAAATTTGAGATTAAAGAGGGCTTTCAGAAAACAAAGGCATTTTACTCATCTTTTTGATGAAAATTGGTGTGGTGGAGATAACACAGTGCCTCCTTTGAGAGACCTGGGATGGGGCTGAGTGGTGAGGCTGGGACAGAGGGACTGATATTTGGAATCTGCAAAGAAGTGGAAATAAGCCACCTCTCCCATGGCTTCAAATAAAGAAAAGGCTTCCTAGTTCATTGTAGGCACTTGAGCGGGTGGGCTGGGGATGGGAACAGAGGTCCTGGACAAACGGGAATGGTTTTGGGGCATGCTGAGAGCTGCCCCGGAAAGAGCATCTGATTGAATAGCACGCAGGCCACTCAGTAGCTTTAAGAAAATGCCCCTGGGGTTTAGGCACGAATGGCAGCCTGCACTGGTACAACTGGTGAAGAAAGCAATAGGAGAGAATCGGAGGCAGCCAGGAGTGAAGGGATGTAGAACAAAGACTCACACTGGAAGGAAATAAGGAATGCTGCCAGGTCGGGGGGGAGGGGCGGGCAGTGAGGACTTAGAACTCCTGAACAGTTCATCATTCACATGCTTATCAGAATAAATTCCAAATAGATTTAAGATTTAAATGTTGAAAAACAAAACCATGAAAGTACTAAACGGCACTTTGGAACCTTGGGAGATTTCTTTAAGAATTGTAAAGGCTATTCGATGACACAACACTCAGAAGCCATTACAGAAAATACAGAAAAATTAGACTATACACACACACTCTCTTTCTAATAAAATCCCTATACATAAGAAAAAAAGAAGTGAAATATTGGAGAAAATAATTGTAACTCAAATCACAAAGCAAATTTCCTTAATATGTAAAAAGGTCCTAGAAATCTGTAAGGAATAAATAATAAATCAGTAAGGAATACATAAATAACTCATTAGAAAGAGGGAAAGCAAATGACCAGATAATTTACAGAAAAAGAAACAGAACTCTGAAACACATGAAAAGAGGCTCACCCTCACATATCATAAGAAGAATGGAAATTAAACTACACTGAGATGCCATTATTATTTGTCACTTGGGCAGAGATTTAAAAGTTTATTATAAACACTGTGTTCATGAATCTTAGAAAAAGACCCTTTCCCACACTGTTGATTAGGAGAGTAAATAGGTATAATTTCCACGAAGGCAATGTGGCAATAGCCATCAACATTACAGATGCACATACTCTGTGACCCAGCAATTCCACTTTTATGTATGTATCCTACAGACATACTCACAGACCTACAAAACTACTATAGGCAAGGTTATTCATGGTAGAGTAGTGTGTCGTAGCAAAAGAATAGACAATCACTCTATCCATCACCAGGGGACTGGTAAACTCCCAGTGTCTTAACTGCACAATGCAATTCCACAAAACTGTACACAAAGATACTGAGTTAAAAACAAAGCACAGTATGTCTGGACAGTTTCCTCCTTCCTTTTCTCTCCCTCCCTTCCTCTTTTTTTTTTTTTCCTGTTTAAATAAATGAGTTTATACTGCTTACTATCCTTCAGATGCAGTTTTAAGAGATTTATGAATATTAACTCTTTCAATCTTTGTAGTAACACTAGTAGTAATCCTCATTTTGCAGATGGGGAAACTGTGCAAAAATAGGGTAGGTAATTTTCTTAGAGGCCATGCAGGTAATATGTAGTGGAGCTGAGATTTAAGCCCAGGAGGTCTGGATTTATAATATGTACTCTTAACCATTACATTACATTGTCTACCATGCTATAACACACATCTATTGGGGAAAATAAAAATTAAGAGCACGCACACACACATACACACATTTTGCATGCGTATGCTTAAAAATTTATGGAAGGTACACAAAAAGATAATATTGGTTGTCTCTGGCAAAAAAAGCTGTAGACCCTTTCTTACCATTTAAAGTCAGAACCATGAGAATAAAATACCATTTTTAGAATGATGTAGGTAAACACCCCCAAGGAACCATTCTCAAATGGCTTATCAGTGTAGCACAAGGTCTGTCCTAGCTGTGTCCACCAGAGGGCTCTAGGGAATGAGCCACTCTCAAGAGAGTCAGCCAACAGGAGCTGTCCCAAAGCCACAAGTCTCAGGAGGGTTACAGGGCAGGGGTACTTGTGCCTGTGTGTCTCTCTGCTTTTCTTTTAACCTAGACCCCATGAGCTCAGGTCTGGGCCTGAGGGAGGAAGAGCTGTGAGTAAAACCAGGGCCTTGTCATGGACCGCTGGTAGG